GAGCGTGGGCATGAGGTCCGGCAGGAAGTGTCCTCTCAGCACTGGGCCCTCGGGGCATCGGGGTGTCGCTGTCGCGTGCACATGGATTGTCCCGTGGCTGCCACGCCCGTGGGAACAGCCCCGGTGCCGGGCTTCAGGTGGCACGCGGCGTTGGCGTGAAAGACGCTGCGTCTGCAATTCCGGGTGCAGCTGACCTGGGAGGCCTCAGGACTCTCGATTTCCTGTTACGTTCATTGGAGATCTTTGCTAAAAGCGTGCTTTATCTCGTTTTGTTGTTTTGCTTTTTTTAAAAGATTTTTTAAAATATATTTTTATTGATTCCAGAGAGGAAGGAAAAGGGAGAGAGAGATAGAAACATCCATGATGAGAGAGAATCATGGATCGGCTGCCTCCTGCAGGTCCCCCACTGGGGATCGAGCCCACAACCCGGGCCTGTGCCCTTGACCGGAATCGAACCTGGGACCTTTCAGTCCGCAGGCTGACGCTCTATCCACTGAGCCAAACCGGCTAGGGCTGTTGTTTTGTTTTATTTTTTCATTTTCCTACTTTTCCCAGGTGGTATGCACAGGTGTGCGGTGCTTGCGTTGATTGAACTAGCTGTCCAATGGCACGTGTCTGTGATGAAACGCAGTGGGAACTTTTCTATTAGCCTGTGTCCCGTGGGAACTAGAAATAGCTCAAGGCTGGGATCGCACCTCAGAAATGAAGACCCCCCCAGATGCCTCGGTCTCAGGACCTGCGTGCTCACAGCAGAGCTGTCGTCACGTGACACTGGTTAGCAAGGCCGGTCCCTGGCACATGGCGGGAACGACTGCGTTTGCTGGAGTTGCAGGGACTTCTCCCAGGTCCGAGTGGCCCAGAGGAGCTTCCCGGACAGGGCCCCCCTTCGATGGAGGAGACCACCCCTCTCCCCACACGCCTCCCAGAGCTCACACCTGCTTCAGAAAGAACATGAGGCACGGTCTGTCATGTGCTTTAAAGAAGACGCGTTGACCTTGGTTCTGATTACGAAGGACACAGGATTTGTGCTCAGCCCCTGGGCAGTGCCAGCCTCGAGCCCTGTCCCACGCTGGAGCCTCCCGCTGGTCCCACACCTGTCAAAGGCGTTGCGAGAGTAAATAGCTACAAGCCAGTGTCCCTCGTAACATGGGCCCCAAGTCCTCACTTAATTAGCAAAGCAACCCCAGCAAATAGAACACGGTCACATGCCGGTGACCAGGGGCTCTGTCCCAGGAAGGCAGGGTGGGCCCCGCGTTTTACATGCTCCTGTGAGGACTGTACCAATAGAGCAGGGGAAGCCAGGGGCGCCTCCGTAGCTGCAGAGCGAGGGTGGGCAGGACTCCGCGTCCGTTCCCAGTAACCGCGCTGGTCCGGCTGGGGTAGGCGGGGCTTCCCTCGCAGGCACCTGGGGTCCTGTCCGCGTTGTCTGCGTTGGTGGAAGACAGTGGTTTCCTGGAGAAGCAGGGGCAGGCGGCCAGGCGGGAAGCCGCGCGGGACGGCGGGGAGGGGCAGACCTGTGTGCAGATGGCAGTCGTGTGCGCGGAAACCCAGGTCCTCGGTGCGTGCTGCTGGAGGAAGTGATTCCAGGGTGCCGGGCGCAGCATCGGCCCCTCACATCTGCAGGAATGGCCAGAGCAAGTCAGCCCTGAATGGGGACCACGAAACGTCGGGAAGGGGACCTTGGTGGCCCTGGCGAGGCGCCGGTTCCATTAATCCTACGTAATAAAAGGCTAATATGCAAATGCCCTCCACCAGGAGGGGATGGGCCAGCTGGCCAGCCTCCCGTGTCCCCACCCGTGCGCGAATCCGTGCCCTGGGCCTCCAGTAGGAGAATAGGATACAAGAAGCAGGAGCCTTCCTAAGAAAAGGCCGCGGGAGCCGCGGGAGCCGCGGGAGCCACCGGCTAGAGACGCGGCGGCGAAGGAGT